ATGTTGCCGAGACCGATGAAAAATTGATCCAAATATCCGTGTGTAGTTGGCACAACTGCCAGTAACGCAATTACACTTATTATGTAAATAGTTTTCATTATTTTATATTCCGAGAACTTTTGATAGCAACCGCTCGATCACTCCAAACTTATGTTTATGAACAACGAGCATCCTACGTTTTCGTTATATACACCTAAATAAGTCTGTCTGCAAACGTTTTTAATTTGGACTACATATCTTATCGACGAGTAGTCAATTTAAAAAAATACCTAGGAATGTTTCTTTGTGGTGTTCACTTAGATACGCCTGTCATCTGTATGTTCTTCAGCTTTTTTGTTTTTTATTGTGTACAGTATATTAATTTGGTTGTGAACTTTGAACATGAAATTGGTGTATCTTTCCAATAAATAAATAAATACATAGTTCAGGAATACGACTAGGATTAAATTAGTTTAAAGCTATCAATACTCGTGTTGTTCAATGAATTTTAGCGTTTTTTTTTAAAGATGTGTATTAATTGATACTTAAATATTAGTCTGTCATTTAAATTAAAAGCCTTGTTAATATTCTTGTGCGATGCGCCTAACGTAATCTTTACTATATCACTAGCATTCGCCAGCGACTCCGTCCGCGTGTAATTTAAAAAAACATATGTAAGTCTAGTCTATGTGCTATTTCAGACTATCCTCTACATCTGTGCCAGATTTCGTAGAGATCCATTCAGCAGTTTTGGCTACAAACCCTAACAGACATCCATCCCTCCACCCATCTGCACTTTCGCATTTATGTTACTAAGATGTCTATATTACGCTAAAAATAATAAATTAAAAATCGTTAGAGTGTGCATTTCAGGAAAATTAAAAAACTGATGTATTCAATTTACTTTTATTTTCAACCACAGAAGTAATACCATACCTCAACATATAATAAAAATAAATAGTTTATTGTCTACGTTTTATGCGGTTTTTTCCAAGTTGACGGCTTTTACATTAACCAGCGGAGGTCAAAGAGTTTAATCACATGTTTAACGAAATATAGACAATTAATACAGCATAAAAATGTAAGCAGTAAGGTCGTGACCACAGAAGAAACAATATAACACAGTAAGAAGACAGCTAACAAACAGACGGGAACGATACAACAAAGAGAATGGTCTACGACAAGGATGTTATATGCCACTTCACAAGTTACTCAGATCAATGCCTGCAGCCGTTCTATCGGGATCATTAACATACGGCTTCATCATCATATAGTTGTTGTTGTTCACGTGTATCTCCTCGGGTCCAGGTTTGCGGTATCTTTGCACCATAGCTTCGTATTGTCGCCGTAAATATTCGTTCTCTTGCTGCAGCCTGTATACATCAGCGTAACTATTATTAGGGTAATCGTTATCACGGTTCTTGTTAAAACCCAACGAAAATCCGAAACCGAATGGTTGGACACCTCTTGCGTTGTTGCCGAGACCGATGAGAAGTTCATCTAAATGTCCCTGTGTAGATTGAACTGCCAGCAAGGCAAGTACACTTATTATGTAAATAGTTTTCATTATTTTTGATATTCCGAATGATCTTGTTAGCGACCGTTCAATCACTTAACACTTATGATTTATGAACAACGAGCGAAAACATTATCTTATATAAGTTTATGAAAGGGTTATCTTTTGGTAAAACCTGAAATGCGTTACGCTATAAGTCCGTCTACAAACTTTTTTAATTGTACCGCGTCTCTTATTAGTAAATGGTCAATTTAACGATAATAGAAACTCATTATAGTTACATAAGGTTTCTTTGTAGAGTTGAGACTTCAAGTATGCGGCTAAGAAATTTATTAGAAAGGGACTTAAATTCGGCCTCCGGCACCACACTCATCAGACGAAACACGGCATTGGTTCCATTTGACGCCTGTCTTCTGTGTGGTCGTGGTATTACTGGGGGCGTGCCGGCCCTGCAGTGCTAACATGTTAATCAAGTGTGCGCACCTTCAAAGGAGCTCATAGGAATCAAATCGCGACTAAACAGTTGTGCGATAGTTTAGTTTCCGGTGTGCGCAAGCTCTCAAGGGGTGTATTGAAAAGACGTTTTTTAAAAACAAAAAAAAAAGTTTATTACGATTTTACTTTTTTTTGGTAAATGCAAAATAATTACCCAGACAAACAACCAAACTTTTTGCTCCATTATTATGGCTTCGATATTTCTATTTTAGTTCAACTTATAAGTAGAAGCGGAATTATTAATAATTAATACAATTAAGACAAATAAATTATTAAAATATAACAATAGCGTAGTTAACAATTTAACACAGAATTTAATTTTTTTGAAGTAATAGAAAAGTGAATTCAAAACGATAGTATAAAACCTAGTTATTTTACTATTAAAAATATTTCCAGATCTCATGAGATATAAATATACGAAAATTAAGTACAATTTTAAAAATATCCATAAATTCTGTGGAAAATCGTAACAACTTAGAATTATTAATAATACAATATTCTTATCCTATTTACATTAAATTTTATTAGTAACTGGCAGTTAAAAGGCACGTAATTCATAGATTCAGTTTGTTTTTTTATACCTAAACAATTTCAGATAATAACTCGAGTATTTCGACTGGTGAAAGGTTATTTGTTTCACTCGTTATTTTAGGCGATAATAGGCAATATGCATATAAACCCAAATTGCACCAAACTTTTTTTAAGTATACTTTATTATTATAAAACATTCCTGTAAAGATTTTTTTTTAATATAATGTGATTTAGTGGCAAAATTTAATCATTAAAAAGTGTCTTTTTTCAAATACCCTCGCTAAGTTCTAAAACGCACACTATTGGTCGAAGCAAGTGGCTTATCTAATATGGCGTCGCTGCGTTGACAATACACAGTTCATTTAAGTTAGTTACACAGAAATTCACTCTAGAAGTATTTTACTATAAACACGATATCAAAAACTTTAAAATAAAAAGATAATGAATAGAATTATTAATTACCACTTATTTGTACCAGGAATAATAAAAATTAATCGACTTTTTGACCTTGAGAAGCTTTGTTGTTTTTTACATCAAAGTGACATCTGAGCGTATGTTATGAATGGAATAAGACGATTGACGTCATTTGTCTATTGACAACTACGGTCGCGTTTTAGTCGCTCGAAAATGGTCGTAATTTTATTTTATTATTTTTCATGGTTGAATATTTTCGCGTCAACTTTTTTTTCTGGTTATTCTATAACAAGTAGAATCGTTTAAAAAAATAAAAAAAACATGCATATTCCCTATTACATGTAATATATCCAGAATAGGTGATTTTTTCCGCGTCGTTAATAAATAATGAAGCAGAATTATGCAATTTTAATTTAAAACCGGTCTGAAAATCTTTCAATTTAAATTATTTTCAGAATTTGTTTTTATGCTTTCTTTTCTAAAAAATTCAAATGGCTCTCCTGAACATTGAACCAAATATCCTTTCACCCATCATATTATTCTTGACGAACGGAGCAACGGTTTTGGACTATAGGAAATCGGGCAACATACTTTGAGCTTAAAGCTATTGGATCTTAGCTATTGACCTCTAACTCCACAAAACCGTTAATCCGTGCGTTAAAAATCATCCTGTATACTGACAAATATAGTTTTAATAAATAATAATCGGTCCTATTTAACATGAAACAAAAAAAAACGTAATTACATTTTCTTTATAGTTTAAAATTATCTCAAAATTTATAAACCATATGGAAAATATCAAAATACAAAATATGACGGTTTTACATAACAATAAAACCGATATTATGTGCCGA